TGGAAACCCTTTTTCGGATCACACCGAAGGGAAAATCAATATGATGGGTAAAGAAAAATATGTGAAGATCAAAAAATGCACAGATGAAGTAAAGACTCCTTTTGAATAGGTGTATGATCATTTGTATAAGACGGGCATGATTCAACCATTATTTTTGGATGACAATGGAAGTCATGAAAACCCTAACCATTTTTGCAAATACCATGGGGAAACAATTGGACATTCAATCCAAAGTTGTGAAGTCTTTAAGTGAACATTGCAGAGCTTGATGGATGAGGCCATCATTAAATTCTATGATGAATGTGATGGAAATAGTGTGAATGCAGTGGGTGACGAGCGTTCTGGCAAGTCTGTTATCCCCAAACCTTTTTTTTTTTACTATGATGAGAAATCAGAGCCCTTAACTGAAAAAACCATCTCCTCTTCTAAGACATCAATGACCATTTATGTCTCTAGTTCATTCTTTTATCAGACCGACAAAGCAGTCCCATGGAGATAAGATTATGATGTAGTAATGTAAGGGTCTGATATGACCTCAAATAATCTAAGTATGAAAAATACTGTCAACATAATGGGAATAGGAAGAATGACTCAAAGTGGTCGAATTTATACTTCTAAAATGTCAGAAAGAGCTAGGAAAGGGAAAATCAGGATAGGAGAAGAAGACACAAGGGAAAGCCAAGATTCTCAATCGATGGTAAGCTCGAAAGTGCAAGTTAACAAATCGGTGTCAGAAAAAGAAGCTTATGAGTTTTTAAATATCATTAAACATAGTGAGTACAGTGTGATTGACTAGCTAAATAAACATCAGCTCGTATTTCTTACTATCACTACTATTAAATTCTAAGTCGGATAGAAACGTTTTACCGAAAGTGCTCAACTAAGCTTATATCGAGCATAACATTTCTGTTGAGAAGGTAAATCACATGGTTGGAATATTATACCCTCAAATTTCATCACCTTTAATGATGATGAAATACCTTTGGAAGGATGTGGTAGTGTTAAGACTTTACATGTTACTATTAAATGCAAGTCCCATACTATGGCCAAAATATTGATTGACAATGGATCGTCTATTAATTTTATGCCTCTGATGACATTATCAAAGCTTTCAATGGATCTCTCTCACATGCAAAATAGCCGTATGATTGTAAGAGCATTTGATGATACACAAAGAGAGGTAATTGGTGATATAGAGATCTCATTGCAAATCAATCCTTATACCTTTAACCTCATATTTCAAGTAATGGACATAACTTCTGTATATAGTTGTCTACTTGAAAGACTTTGGATTCACACGATCGGAGTTGTACCTTTATCTTTACATCAGAAGGTAAAATTCATTATGGAAGAAAAATAAGTCTGTGTGAATGGTGAGAAGGATTTATTAGTAACAAAGACCTTAACTACTTTCTATGTTGAGGCAGCAGAAGAAGTGATCGAATGTTTTTTTAAAAAGTAGCAAACGTTACTTACATAAAAAAAGGGTCAAGGATACCGATCCCTTAATTATCAAAAGCTATGAATATGGTGATCAAACAGATTGCTGGCAAAGGTTTGTGAGTCGGACAGGGCTTAGGGAAAGCTCTACAAGGAATCGTAAGAGCACCATGCTGATTGAAAATAAAAAAAGATGGGGGTTAGGCTATAAGCCTACTACTACTGATAAAAAGAATATAATACTGGAGAAGAAAGAAAAAAGAATGGCACGCCTCAAAGGGCAAAATTTGATTATTAGAAAAATGGTGTTCCTTTATTTGTATGAAACCATTCGTTCAGTCGGGCATGTCTATCCTGGGTCGACAAAAGTTGAACAAGGAGAACTAGTAATTTTAAATGGAAGCAGATGAAGGAATCATGCAAGATGAAGAGATCTTTTTTCTTTTTTAGGAGACTTGAAGAATGGTGTACCATTTTTGTTGTCCTTAAACCTTTTAACTCGAAAATTTCAATTACTTCTGCCTAAGAACATGCGGAGGTTAAGTGTATGGGCTTATTTTCATTATCTTAATAAAATGATGAATGCAATGCATTTCACTTATACAATGTTCTCTTTTTTTCATTTTTCTTTTCTTTTATTACCATTCTCTTTGCCCTTGCCAAGATTAATATATATTTCTTTGTGATTATACCCATTTTCAGGTGTTCTAATAATGAACATTATGGATGACCAAGGCAATAACACTAAGTTTGATTTTGAAAATTCGACTCATATTAGCGAGCTTGATAACGATGTTGATTTAGAAGACTATGATTTACCTTTATGATCTGTTGAAATGGATGGAACAAGAGAAAAAAATTATAGAACCCCGCCAAGAATCAACCAACCCATTAAATTTATGAGATGGTGATAATAAAAAAGAAGTTAGGATCGATACTTCACTATCACCAATTGAGAAGCAAAAGTTGGTGAATCTGCTACAAAAGTACATGGATGTATTTGCATGGTCTTACTAGGATATGCCAGAACTTAGCACAAAGGTGGTTGAGCATAGGTTGCCTTTAAAATCAGAATGTCGACTAGTACAGTAGAAATTGAGATGCATGAAGCTGAAAATGTTACTGAAGATAAAAAAAAAGTAAAAAAGTAATTTAATGCTGGTTTCTTAGAAGTAGCCAAGTACCCTGAATGGATAGTCAATATAGTCCCAATTCCCAAGAAAGATAAAAAAGTTAGAATGTGTGTGGACTATCGAGATTTAAATAGGGCTAGCTAAAAGGATAATTTTTCATTGCCACATATTGATACCCTTGTAGATAACACTGCTAAGTACTTCACTTTTTTATTCATAGACAGGTTCTTTGGCTACAATCATATCAAAATGGCTCGTGAAGATATGAAAAAACTATATTTGTGACAATGTAGGGCACGTTTTACTATAAAATTATGTCTTTTGAGCTAAAAAATACTGGTGCCACATATCAAAGAGTGAAGGTCACTTTCTTTCATGATATGATACATAAAGAGATAGAGATATATGTTGATGATACAATAGCTAAGCCTCAAGAAGGGGAAGATCATGTTGTTAATCTCATAAAGCTTTTTGAAAGATTACGGAGATACCATCTCAAGTTGAATCCAGCCAAATACAAATTTGCTATTAAATCTAAAAAAATGTTAGGGTTTATAGTCAGTGAAAGATGTATAGAAGTAGACTCTGATAAAATTTGAACCATTCAAGAATTGTCAGCATTACACACGTAAAAAGAGGTGAGAGGCTTTTTGGGGTGATTGAATTATATTTCTCGCTTCATATCCCAACTTACCTCGAAATGTGATCCAATCTTCAGGTTGCTTCACAAAAATAATCTTGGTGAATGGGATGAAAAATGCCAAAATGCATTTGAAAATGTTAAAGAGCATTTGATGAGCCCACCAGTTTTGGTTCCAATAGTTGCAGGAAAATCATTACTTTTATATCTAACGGTTCAAGAAAAATCGATAGGATGTGTATTGGGGCAAAGAGATGAAACTAGCAAGAAAGAGCATGTTATATACTATTTAAGTAAAAAGTTTACAGAGTACGAGGCCAAGTGCCCCCAAATAGAAAAAATATGTTGTGCCCTAGCTTGGACTACTCGTAAACTCAGGCAATACAAGCTCTACCATATGACGTGGCTAATATCAAAATTGAATCTCCTCAAGTACATTTTTGAAAAACCATCTTTATTAGGCAGGCTAGCGAAATGGCAGGTCATGCTATTAGAATATGATATTATGTATGTGACACAAAAATCCATAAAAGAGAGTGCAATTACTAATTTTCTTGTCGATCGAACTACAAAAGATTATGAACCTATGAAGTTTGAGTTTTCAGATGAAGATTTGATGGTAATCTTGCAGGATGAAGATAAAGGGCTTGTAAGATAAGTATGGAAAATGTTTTTTGACGGGGCATCCAATATAATGGGGCATGGCATTGGGGCAATACGAATATCACTAGAAGAGAATTACTACCCCTGTATCATAAGGTTAGATTTCAACTGTACAAACAATGTTGCTGAATATGAAACATGCGTCATGACATTCTAGATGACTATTGAAAAGAAGATTGGAACACTAGAAGTATATGGAGATTCAACCTTAGTAATTTATCAACTAAAAGGTGAATGGAAGACTAAAGACCCGAAATTAATATTATATCAAAAGCACATAACTAGCTTTAATGAAATATTTTAAAGAGATCTAATTTCAGCATGTTCCTTGAAAAGAAAATTAGATTGTTGATGCCTTGGCTAATTTGACAGTAATGTTTAGGTTAAATAATAGTATGGGAATTCAACCCATTAGAGTAAAAATAAAAATTTTATCAACCCACTGTTCAAACGTGGAAGAAGAAGTAGATCGACAACCTTGGTACTATAAGTTATACAATATATTAAGTGTCAAAACTACCCAGAGCAGGCTTCAAAAATGATAAGAGGATTATTCAAAGATTAAGCAGTAGGTTTTGCGCTTGATAGAGAAATCTTGTATAAAAAAAGTTGAGATTAGATTTTGCTAAGGTGCGTCGATGCTATGGAGGCGAGAAGGATACTTGAAGAAGTACATGAAAGAATTTATGGAACACATGCTAACAGGTATATGATGGCCAAACAGATCACGAGAGCTAGTTAGTGCTGGCCTACAATGGATAATGATTGCATCAGTTATGCTAAGAAATGCCATAAATACCAAATTTATGCAGATAAAATTCATTCTCCTTTAGTCTCGCTGCACGTCTTGACACCACTATGGCCTTTCTCCATGTGAGGAATGGATGTGATCAGACTCATAACCCCAAAATCTTTAAATGGGCATCGATTTATCTTTGTGATAATCAATTACTTTACAAAATGGGTAGAAACAGCTTTGTATGCTAGTATTACGCGATTAGTAGTGTATAGATTTATAAAAAGAGAGATAATATGTCGATATGGGCTCTCGAAAAGGATCATCTCAGATAATGCTAGCAATTTAAACAATAAAATGATGAAAAAATTATGTGTACAGTTCAAGATCAAACATCATCATTCAGCACCATATCGTTCAAAAATGAATGGTACAATGGAAGCTGCAAATAAAAACATCAAGAGAATGTTGGAAAAAATGACTAACACATATAAGGACTAGCATGAAAAGTTACCTTTTGCTTTGCTTGCCTATAGAACATCAATCCGAACTTCCACAGGGGCTACCACATTTTCACTAGTGTATGAGATGAAAGCTGTATTACCGATTGAAGTGAAAATTCCTTCTCTGAGAGTGTTGATGGAGATAAAATTGGACGAGACAGATGAGTTCAGGATTGTTTCGAGCAACTGAATCTTATTGAAGAGAAAAAACTCTCAGCACTCAGTTATGGATAAATGTATTAAAGAAGAATCATGCGAACACATGACAAAAAGATACAACATCGATGCTTCTGTGAGGGTAAATTAGTTTTGAAAAAGATTTTGTCATATCATCATGACAATAGAAAGAAAATGGACGCCTA